TTAAAAAGGGGGGGGGGATTTTTGCCCTCATACTTTTCCAGACTTTCTACTTGAAGCTGTGTACATCCGAGCTTAGTGTGAATATTGTTCCCAGCACTGGACTTACACAGCAGGATGCCACTGGCAAAATACCTGCAAGATTAAAAAGTCTGGATTCCTTAACTTAAGGACAGATTGCTGTACATGCTCTAGAAAGTAGAGAATTAACAAAGAAGCCACAGCTCAATAATTTACGCCACAGCTAAATAATTTATAAAGCAAGCCATAACTTCTAATACGGCTCGTATTTATGAGAAATGTGGCTCTTCCCATTTCATGATTTAGCCTGTGCACACTTGATCATACGAAGTAAAACCTGAGCAGGGCAGTATTTTAATCTGGACTTTGTTAATAGCACTTTTAACCCATAAAACTTAAAACTTCTTAAAACTGTTAACTCTGCTTTCACAGGAAAAATGAGTTAAATCCCTAGCAGTAGCTGCCTATATAGAGCAAGAATAGAAATTCCTGCTCATAAGCAAAGAAATTATTGTAACATGAAACAAGGGTTTGTAACAATAATTAGCGTCAGTTCTCTGACTAGTTATCTAAATCAGGAGCAAAGCCAGGTCCCACCAAACTCCTGAGACCATGAGAACATAGAAATGGCATAAAGCTAAAGGTGCTTCAATGCAGTGGGTGTTTTGGCTGGCCAGATGCTCTGTCACCTAGTAGTTGGGGGTGTTCATTTATTTATTTGTGGTTAATCAAGCCAGTTATGGCCTGAGAACAGAGAAACGACTTGGTTGAGCCTGAACTGTGCTAAAACAGTCCTGGGAGTTAAACAGAGCGGGGAAAGAAAGGACGAAAAGAAAGATGACGCCGCATTCGTTGCCACCTCGGCATACAAGGAACGTCCCAGAGCTGCACGCGCGGGCAGTGACATTCGGAGGGTTGGTGAGGGACGGCTCACGGTCAGCGGGAGCGGCCGCCCCCGGCACCTCGCGCTGTCCGCACCAGCTCGGCAGCATTTCAGCTTCCAGCAGAACAAGCGGGAGGGCTGCAACGCAGCGTGTGCTTCCAGTGAGTGAGGCGGGTCGGGAAGGGCAGGGAAAGACCCCAATGACAGGTGCTGAGCTGCAGCGCAGCACGGGCATCCTCAGC